CATAGCTCTTAAAACAGGAACATACTTAAAACCTTGAAAAGAATCTCTGTCTGAAAAATGATTCCTGGGGTGTGTATGCATGTGTTTTACTATAAACAGATACCTAATTAGAGGTCACTTATTCCTGGATCTAGTAACAACATGCTGATATTTCTACTCCCAATGTGTACTTTCAGAAAAAAATACAATGTCACAAAAGCAAAGAAATGTGGCATGCAGAAAAGGCAGGAAAGTTGGCTGAGGTACTACAATGGTCGTTTAACCTGAAGAACACAAACTGGTCTTTTAAAAAAAATTGCCTAAAATCTGCCCAAGGGAAAAGAAAGAAAACCTCCTTAAAATTCCATATCCCCCACTATCACTACATCAAAAACCATCTGGAAAATGTCAGATTATGGTACCCACCCACCTAAAAAATTCAGTAAACTTAGCATTTAGAATAATCAACTAAAATTGCAATTTCTATTTGGATACACTCAGAAAACAAAGGAATCAGATTTTACAAGTCTCCTTAAAAAGGACCATGTGTTTACAAATGCCCTACACACACCCCACCTCGTCCTTGATCTCCACCACGACTTCACAGCAGAAGCAGAGCTAAATTTAAAGACATACGTGCAGCTACTATGAAGTCTAATTATCACATATATGTTCTGAGCGAGTCTCAAATTCCCCTTGTTATGTAAGCACTTAGAGGCAATAAAATTTCACTTATGTTCAGCAGCTTTGTGAGTCTCAAAACAACAGTCTATCCAACTATATAACCCTTTTACTGCCAGTGGACAGCTCTGGTGTTTTATTTATGTTCAACATATTGCCTATAGTATATAGAGAAACCATTTAGTGGACTTTATGAGCCCATCACATTTTATTACTGATATTAAATAGTATTATCCATACTGAACTCATTATTAAATCAAATTAGAAAAATTGAAATATTCACAAAGAACTACGAAGCTGATGGGCTTTCCCCTCAGATTGTCTGCAGACTGATAAGAAGGAAGAAAAACAATGAGTATTCACTTTTCGCAGATAGAGGTCACTAATGGACTGAATTTGAATCACTGTGGCAGAAACCACAAAGTTATGAAAGCAATCTAGTGAAAAATGAACTTAAATTAAAGTTAAAGTAAAGATACCAAAAGATGATTATGCAGACAGCTGTGAGCTGAATAGAAATAATATTCCATCACCTTGACCTTTCTTGAATCCTCTAAACAGAAACCTTATTGTAAAGCTCACAGTTTTTAACTTCAGACACTGCTGATCACAGAAGTTGTTTTTCCTTGCAAAGTACACATCTGAAGAGTCAAACTAAATGTGATGCTCACATTGAGTCTCTTCAGAAAGATGCTTCTGAAGTTGGACAACACTAGAGACTTCCTTGAAATCGCAACTTCAAACTCAGAAAATATAAGATTGCTTTAGGAAGATAAGTCTAAATCCTAAATCAAACTCTTCAGCAAGACAGAATATCAATGTAACTGAGCATCAGAGAAGGTTCATATTAGATCCAGCTGGTCAAAGTCAAACTCAGATAAGATCACATCATCTGAAACTTAGCATACAGGAAAAGCCATGACTGCCTTGGGGACTCCAGGATAGCCCAGTACAGCCACATTTGGGAATCTACTTTCTTTAGTTAGAAGCATCCCCTGGAATTTCAAAATCTGCAGTGAAACTACCGAAGTGTTAAGATACAGGCATTAAAAAAAAATACCTTACTAGCATTCTTCCATGCTAGGCTTGTAATAGGTTCTGCTACAGTACAGCTAGTCCAATTCTTTTTACAATTCCATGTACCCACTGGCAGAAACACGGAATAATATTTGAAATCTCATCTCCCAACCTCCTCCAGTCACAGGTATTTGCAACTCAACATGACAATATGGTGTTGGACTGTCATCCATGATTATTAAAATTTCTTAAATGGTTTAACCCTCTCCTGTCTCAGGATATGAGGAGGGAAGGGGGAAAAAAGTTGTTCTTTCAGGAGCAAGAGCTTTGTGAGGAAATAAGCAACTTAGCTTGGTATTGGTATCATCCAAAGATTTTCTTCTAATATGGTGGCCAGCTGATCATATGTGTCTGGCATATGTTGCTTAGTGATTTAAGAAGAAGAATCCAGTTCTAACATTTTATATACTGACCTAAAATTTTACATTCCTATTGCAACAACCAAATATATCCCTGGACAAATGCCAGCCTGCATTGTATTTACCTCAAATGTTTTGGGGATCCTTTCATCCTTTCATCAGAGCTTTAATAAGGTCGTAGGAGTTAAGCCCACAGACAATCTGGGTCCTGATATGGAAGACAGCCTTCATATGAGCTTTCAGCTGGGTGGGGGGAAGTTAGACATAATAAATTTAGCAATAAGCCCGTGAGCAAGTGGACATGCTCCAAAGCTCCCTGAAACCCTGTGTGATTAAAGAGCCTCCCAGCTGAATGGGGAGCAATAGCTCCCTTTAGAATAGGCTCTGCAGAGCAAATTCAGCATGTGAAGAAATCTAATCAGCACCTTGCACTCCTTTGCGAGTATTTACACGGATTTGTACCTTGCACGTACTTGATTAGCTTACTGTAAGCGTTACAAAGAGATTCCCTCCATTAAAATTAATCAAAAGCTCTCAGAAACTGCTTTTCATTCATAGGAGAAGGCATGATGAGTTTCCAGGTGAATTAATAATGATCATCATAATAAAGATGATAGCAGCTGTGAGGAAATTCAAAATTCTGCGGGGCGGGGGGGGGCTGCTGGAAGGGACCCTGGGGAGTTAGAGTTAGAATCTTTATGCAATAGGACTGAGCAGCAGTTACTTTCTTAGCCTGAGTAAGGTTGTGAGGGAAACTCAACTGTCTTCCCTGTGATGCCCTGGGCTCAAGCACACAGGGGCAGGCCACTCACTTCCCCGGCTAAGCAGGGCATCTCCCTCTCCCTCCCTCCCTGTT